GCCCCACGGAACCACGTAACTTCTGGTTTTGGATTCGCTTTACACTTGCATTTCATCGTGATCAAGGTGCCGGTTTCGTTCGGAATGATACGAGGTTTTTCGACGAACGTCGGCGCGAAACCAGGTCCCTCTTCTGCATCTTAGAAAGATCAATGGTTAAGCAGGATTCGTCGAAATTTATATTCGACGATATTTGTGGCGATCGAAAAAAAAAAGGGGGAGGAAGATATTTAATATCAATATCTCGATTCTTCTCGAAATTCAGCGCAAGGATGATCGCAGCGTGTTAAATAGTTCAACAAACGAGAGAAGGATTAGTTAGCTTATAGCGCAATCATGCACTTACCTACCTGTACATCTATATACACGTACAATGCGAATATTTCATTCACCGCGATATAATAATTATTTTTCTATTCTCGATATCGACACAAAGGAGAGAGAGAAAAAACGTGCTAGGAAAGAGATATTTATATATATATGTAAAAAATAATCGTGGCGTGCGTCTGATTCGGAGAAGGACTTGCCTTGGAAATTGAGGGAGATGTTTGCGTTACTCTCGCCGAAGTTGTTAAACGCGTTGCATCGATAATTTCCGCCGTCCGCCTTGGTCGGATTCGATATCTCGAGCGTGAGCAAATAAGTATCCTTCCCAGTCGCCTTGCGTGACATCTTGACGCGTTTGCTGTCGGTGATCGTCTTCTGACCTTGGTACCAAGTTATATCCGGGACCGGGTGAGCTTCCAAGATACACTCCATGATCAACACGTCCCCTTCTTGTCGAATTGTTGGCTTCTTAGGGAAACGCGGTGGTTTACCGTCCGGTATTCTGCGTCAGATCGACACGTCAGATCGACACTCGCTTCGATTCCTCGATCGCACGGACGGATTCGTTCCAAGGCGTCGCCAGAAAAAAATTCAATCGTTCAAAATTCAATCGTTTAAAATTCGATTGTTCAAAATTCGATTATTCGAAATTCGATTATTCGAAATTCGATTGTTCGAAATTCGATTGTTCAAAATTCGATTGTTCGAAATTCGATCGTTCGAAATTTGATTGCTCGAAATTCGATCGTTTAAAATTCAATCGTTCGAAATTCAATCGTTTAAAATTCGATCGTGCGAAATTCAATCATTCGAAATTCGATTGTTCGAAATTCGATCGTTCGAAATTCGATCGTTTAAAATTTGATCGTTCCAAATTCGATCGTTCGAAATTCAATCGTTTAAAATTCGATTGTTCAAAATTCGATTATTCGTAATTCAATCGTTCAAAATTCGATCGTTTAAAATTCGATTGTTAAAAATTCGAAAATCGTTCGATATCTCGTTTCTATTCATTTTTTTCGAGAGATCGAAGGAAGCGAAAGATCTGGCGACGCGATGACCGTGCGCGATATCATAACGCGGCGTATGCGTACTTCAACTTGTCACCCCCCTCGAAATTCAAATTAATGGTAGCGACACCCTGGCCATGTTTGTTCTTCGCCACAGCTCTGTATTCCCCGGCGTCGCCTTTCGCCACGTTGTCGATTCTCAACCTCGCTAGATGGTACAGTTTCTGATCCAATTCCAATGACATCCTGTATCTTCCGTCTTCTTTCAATTCTTCGCTACCGTGATACCTAATTACGTATGTCCATCAAACCATCATCATGTATATATGCTGCTCGAAAGGTAGTAGTAACTTGGAAGTACGTTGTACGTTGCGATGGAAATGTTTCGTTCGAAGTAATAATCGAACGAAAACTGTGTGTGCGTGCAAGTGAGAAAGAGAGACAGAGAAAGAAAGAAAGAGAAAGGAGAAAGGAGAGAAAGGGAAAAGTATCCAAGACGTACTTCCAGAATATGGATGCGCGCGTAATCTTACCACTTGACGGTTGGTTTCGGGTCGCCGACTAATCGACATTCAAAGGTGATGGTGTTACCGTCGTCCGATTGCCTTATTACCGGTCGTTCGGTGAAAGTCGGTTTAATACCATCGTCGGGTACGGGTGCCTCGTCGCCTATGTTCACACAAACGATCTACGTGTCGATATCCTTGTATACAATATCTTTTATTTGTCGCTTAATCCCTTCGCGGCGGAAGGTTTAAGCTCTTCGATCCAAGGTCAGAGCTACGTATCGATCCCAAGTTTTACACCATGTTCCTTGCTTTTTTTTTACCTCTTTCACTTTCGCCGAACTGTAAAATTACGATTAAGATTTCGCCTATCAAACCGACATCTCCTTATTTAGGTTGCTTTCTTATCTCTCGTCTTTTGCGTCCGTTCTTTCTTTTTTCCTAATTTTCTTCCCTCGTTTCGTCCTGTTTGTCCTGATCGATTGTCCATTGTGCGATGAAATGCCTCGAACCAAGTCGCGATCGAACCAATTCGATGTAAAAAAGAGAAGAAAAAAAACTACTTTTTCTCTGTTATTCGAGTTATTTTTTTTTTTTTAAGCTTGTGTATTTGTTTACCACTGCATAAAAAAGTCTTTGTGTAAGTGCGATAATTGCGATTAAGCCAGTTAAAGAAACCTGTGATTCAAAAATGTATTTAGGTTTGTTCGGTTACGGTTCAAATTTCTTTTTTTTTTTTTTTTTTTTTTTAGTAAAGTCAAATTAATGTCTTAAAACACAGCAATACGCATGAGTATAGTATGCGTGTGTACGTCTACATCTACTATTTGTATCGCCTAACCAAATATTATAATATTACAACGTCAGTGATATTCACACGGCAAACGGTTGTTTGCGCTGATAAAAAGAAAAAAAGAAAAAAGTATACGCGATTTTAGCAACCTAACGAAGCGTCAGCATAAGGCGATTCGCGTTCCATCTACCGACGTTTCAAACAATACAAGTCAGATACGTGGAACGCCAATCGAAAAATTAATACGTGATTCAAGCAGCTTTTACGTTATTAATTAGAATTTCATCTGCGATCTATGCGAACTATCCTTTTCCTTTTAGTTTCCTTGGGCTGTATATCGTCGCTCCGTCGAGCCGATAATCGATACGTGCTCATTGCTCGACCGAGATAAATTATTAAAAAATAAATATTACGCGGACAGATGATATAAAGAGAGGATGAGCAGAAAAAATAATGAATAAAACAACGAAGAAGAAGAAGAAGAAGACAAAGAACAGGTCGAAGAAGGAAAATGACGAGACAAGTCAAGAGAGGAAGAGGCCAGAGCCTGAGAATTGAAGAGAACCGGAAAATATAGAAATAGGATCACCGATATACATCCCGAATTAATAATAATAAAGATAGAGAAAGTGAAAAGGTAAGTGACGATTTACGTTTATTTTCTCGTGTTCGATTTATCTATCGAAGAAAAATAAGCGTGAACCGTAAAACATCGATGTTCCAGCATATGGATATTGAAGAAAATTTTCTTTATTATACTTACTATCGAAGTTTAAGGAAATAGTGGCGTTGGATTCGCCGAGCTCGTTCTTCGCGGTGACCTTATATTTACCAGCATCCTCAACGGTCACATTTTTTATCTCCAATGTGGCGAAGTACGAGTGACCATCTTTGTCGACGGTTAGCTGAAATTTCAAAGTTGGTAAATAAAAGAGAAATAATAAACGACACGCAAACGGATCTACTGTTTACTACTGCAAAAAAGTCAAGTAGGACGGCACAAGGACAAAAAGTCCTTCCATTAGGACCGCCTATCCCTACTTTTTGTTGACAATTGTTCAACGTATGGTACAGTAGTAGTAGAAAAATATAATATGTCTACCTTCGTATACATACAACAATTATTATCTTAACAATTCGAATAAATTTATAAGTTAAAATATTATTACAAATTATAATTACTCTACACATATGAAAAATAACAAAATTTTTATATTATATCGATATGTTAGAATTTTTTAGCTTCTATGCCTACACTAATACAATAATCGTTTAAATACGGATCGTTTTGAATTAGTATACGTGTACAAATACCAAGAAACATAGAAACAAAAATGCGTGTGAAAATAGGCGTTTCCTTTCTTAAAATTAACCAATCAGATCCGCGATTCGTTTCACGAGACTTCTTTCCACCAATGAACAGTAGATATATAGATAGATAAAGATAACCAACCTTGTGCCTCGGTGAATCTTTTACCATATTTCCATCGTGAAACCACGTTACTTTGGGCGTGGGATCAGCCGTGATGCGACATTCGAAAAGTAATCGTTTACCATCATCCTCTTGTCTGATAGCGGGCTTCTTCGCGAAAGTTGGCGCGATTCCATCGATTTGTCTACAAGTGCGAATCACAAATTTTAAAGTAGATGCAAAACTGTTATTTTCATTTCAGTAAAATAAAATCACACTGCAAACGCTGATATCATTTCGATTATTATTATATAAACACATTGCAACAAGTTAGTACGAGTAACATTCGATTATCCTGTACAATATAATAGTATACAGATCAATGTGTAATTAGACGAGCCAAAAATTATACGATTTTACAAAGTAATAAGTAATAAATAAATAGAGATAAATTTGTCCTAGGATACTTAATTCTGGCTCTCGTTTCAATGATGAATCTACCAGTATCATACTGTAGACTCGTTGTTACCTATAGCGAGAGAAGAGACCCTTTGATGGCTCGTTTTAGAGATGCCTCAACCAACGTCTTTAAAACGTCTAGTTCAACGACCTTTTCGCGCAAACTTATCTTGCAATTACCGCAAAATTTTCCTATTTTTTGTCTACGTACATCGCATATATCAAACTTTGCGTAATAGATTTGTCAATGGTGAAGTGACAGTTGACGATAAAGATGATAAAAATAAAGAGAGAATAAAAAGAAAGAAACAGAACGAAACGAAGCAATTCCAAAGTGTAAAAGCAACAAGATCTCGCGATCTGTAAAAGAAGGCAGAGAGCAGAAGGGAGGAACGTCGAAACTAACTTTAGCAAAGAAGTAGGCTGCAGCTGTTTCCTCCTGTTATACACGTTACAGTCAATTACAACCGATTCGTCTCGCGGATCCGTTCTCTTCGCTTCTGCTACCCTGCTACGAGAAGAAAAGCGTTTCGAGGAATCAAACCCGATCCCGAATATCTGGAAAAAGTATGGGCTCGTCAATGGCTCGAGTTACTTTTAGAAATTCACGGGGAATCAAAATGTCTGTCGAACTGATCCGAAAATATAACATTTCGCCGAGCGGGCTTGGTCACGCGCATCCAACTTTCGACCCAATTTCTACGAAGAAGAAATTCGAAATTCGAAGTGATTATTCAAACGAGGGGGAGAAGGAGAGTAATCTAAAAATATTCGGACAACGTGCAGATCCATCTAGATTTAATTTTCCATTCCTCGATCGATTGTATCGAGATTCTAAACATTCTGTACGAGAAATTCATTCCGATATATACAAAATACGTACAGAAAACGGAGAAAAAGATTCGAATGGATGGAACACGATGATCCAAGTTAAATGGATGTTTCATCGAACAAATGTCGTCGGTTAAAAAAGATCAAGGATGAAAATAGAGAGGAGAGAGAGAGAGAGAGAGAGAGAAAGAGAGTTTGTCGAATCTATTTTCACGGCGGACAAGTCAGACTCACGTTATGCGTGGGCAGAAGAGGAAAATTGAGCGATCGGAAGAAGCATTAGCTGTCCGGTTTTCTCTTATCGGACGCGCGCGTGAACACACGTGAATACGCGTGCAAAAATAGCGAGCATTCCGCGACGATTATTATTAGTTAGCCGCATTCGATGCGCACCTATATAAACATCCACTCCTTCCTTCCATCTTCTCTCCCCCGATATCGTTGGTTAGTTTTAACAAACGGCAAACCGTTTCGTTAATATCTCGCACACGTTTTTTTTTTTTTTTTTTTTATCTTATTACGATCACTCGTACGAGCAGGCGTTCGCGTGAAAAAAAGAAAAACGAAAACGCAAATCCGTTACTCACCCATCTCTGTCTGCGTCTTCCGCCGCTAAAATCATAGAAAGAAAAAAAAGAAAGCGTAATAAGCGTGATAAGCAAATGAAAAAAAAAAAAAGCGAAAGAAAAGCGTTAAAAAGAGAAAGAGGGGGAAAGGGGAAGCAGAGCCTGGAGAAGCGACAAACAAAGTTCATTCTTTTTTTCTTTTTTTTTTTTTTCGAAATACGAAATCGAAATTCGTCGTCGAGAAAACTTACTTCTCTCTAGGCTCATCGACAGCTGTAAAAAAAATAGAAGAAAAATGATCAATTCAAGAAGGAACACGGTGTTCGAATTCATCACGATGATGAATCGTGACGAAAAAGGAAGGGGAAGGGATATTTTCGGGTTATAAGGACAGGGGCAGAGCGAAAACGAAAGGGTCAAGAACGTTTCTATAAAAAGAACAATCTTTCGAGCGGTGGGTAGCGCACGCATTGAAACGACCACGACGCGTTGCGCAATGGGACGCGATGTGACGAAGTCGATGAGAAAAGGAAGAAAAAAAATAAAATAAAGTAAAATAAAATAAATACAACGGAGAGGAGGGGGAAAGAGGTGAGGAAAAAAAAACTGATCGATTACTTACGACTGAAATTCAGGTTAATCGAAGCCGCGACCTCGCCCATCTTGTTCTTGGCCTTAACCTTGTACAGGCCCGCGTCGGTCTCGATAACATCGTCGAGCTCGAGGACGACGAGGAACTTGTTCGTCCCGACGCTTTGCATCCGGAAGTTGGTCCTTGAATCGGGAGCTAGCTCGATCTCGCCCCGATACCACGATATCTCGGGTTTCGGCGAGCTGATCAGCTGACACTCGAAGATCAGTCGATTTCCATCGTCCTCCTGCCTGAGTTGCGGCTTCTGGGTGAAGCTCGGCGCGAAATCGTCGGCGACCCCCATGTTGTCGGGTCGCCCCTCCGCCAATTTCTCGGGTGGCGAGCCACCCTCCTTCCTTTCCAATCGAGCCTCCCCTCCCTTCCTCCGCTTCTCCTCCTTCGAAGGGAACTACCACCCTCCTTCACGCTCGGTTTAAACGGCGCCGACCCGCGGCACCATCCAATCGACTTTGCCCTTCCTCCGTCGCGCGCCAACCAACTCCTCTCCTTTCCCCGACAAAAAAAATTTATATGATTTTCGATATCTTGTTTGGAAGAGGAAAGGAATTTTACAAGGATTTTACAAGAATTTTCCAAAACCGAAATCCAAGGCCGAATAATGACGCAACAAATCTCTATTATTAATGCAACTCTTGGCTTGAAAATAAGTTGAATCGGTTATCTTGGTTGAATCGGTTATTATGCTTGGCAAATCTAAATCTTAGAAAAATTAAAAAAAAAAAAAAAAAAAAAACACGTGGCGAAGAGAAAATTCGACGTAGATGAACGAGAGATGTAAAATTTGGCAATGGCGAGAAAAATGACTTATTGCTTCCGGATAATATTAAAGGAATTAACGTTTAATATTTTCGGGAAAACGAAAATGTTCGAAATGGTATATGGCGTATATAAGGTTTGACTGTCAGGGTAGGAAGGATAGGATCCGTAAGTCGTAAAGTTCGCACAGAGCGAAGAAATGCGAATCCAGAGCGTGTGCACGCACACCGAACGTTACAACGTCACTTGGTAAGACTTGGCAACCAGCCTCGAAACATTCCTTAGATTGTTCGGCTTCGTAACGCTCGTTCTCATTCTATCCCTTTCCTGCGCCTCATTTTTCCTGCGTTCCATTTGACCGATAATTAAAATCGAATTAAATAATTTTTCTAGTCATCGAATACGCAATAATTCTTGATTGAAACTGTTTCGATCATATTTGTCTTTGTTGATGTATATGAAAAAAAAAAAAGAAAGAAAAAAGAAGAAGTTAATAGAAAATTAATTAAAAAAGAATAAATTCGAAATTCGTTGTTTCTCCACGTTTGAGGAAAATAAAAGAAGAATTTTGATTAACGATTTTATGAAAATTTCCCAGTGGCAAGTTCCTTGCTCTTTGTTCGAGATACACTTTTGACAGGAGCGTTCTATCCGTGCCAAGTGAAGAAGAGAATGACCGAAGATCGGAAGGGATCTTTTGAACGTCCATCTCTTTTCTCGAGAAATTTCTTCGATAAATTAGAAAACCTTAAATTAGAAAACCCCATCCAAATCGAGAATGTATCTCCTCTCGATCGAATCGTCGATAATAATTAACACGATCGTGTTAACGCGATCGCGTATAAGTTCGAAAGGACAATCGTTTGGCAATCACCTAGATTGGAGGTCGTGGTTGGCCATTTTATAAATAGAGGATACCTCTCAAGAGGAGAGATGGACGCATTTTTATCAATGGGAGAGGAGACGGGTCAACCTTGATCGGCGATCGGCACGTTCGATCGGTGTCTAAAAATATTAACGAAAACGCCCGTTTGAAGAGAACAGACACGCGCGAGAATTCCGTTCTGCGATCGATGGAATGAACAGGTGTTTCGCGAACGCATGCCGCGATGTCTCGATATTTTTACGCTGTACGTAACTCACTTGGCACAATAATTTTTATCGTGATGATAAATGCATAGGTAGAAATATTGGACGGCACAGGCCGACCTAATTAACAAGTGGCACGGTGTACACACGTTGGGTTATAAAAAGCGATGGATTGAATGAAACGAATAGTTTGGCAACGATGGGACAAAAATATCGTTGGGGCAAAAATGATGTCGCCGATGTGTTATTGAAGGGGTGAGGGGGGAGGGGAAGGGAGGGGAGGGAGAGAGGGAGGGAGAAAAAAGCTCCGGTCGCAATGGAATTTTCGCTTATTACACGACGGCATCGAGAAGTTATGTATTCTCGCGAGAGGATGATTCACGTTTTGGGATTACTTAGAATGGAAAGAATATTAGGTCATCGTGGGGATAATACCGCGGCAAGCTTACCGCGCGCTCTAATTCCGACCTAGAAGTTATAATTATTATTAGTCGAGGCACGCGTTTCATCTCTTCTCTTCTCTTCTGTTGTCTATACGTACCACTATTTTCTCTGCATCGCGGATTCTATTTTCGTGGACTGACTCGAATCCACGGCAATACAAATCGCATATCACCGAAATCTTGCTCGTTCACGTCGAGAGACGTGGATACTTTCCTTCCGTTCGAGACACGAGTTCGAGAAACGAGACGAGGGAAATTAAAGATCGGGTATTTATTTATAGCGGCAATATCGCGAGGCGCTATGATGCAAGAAGGGAATAGGACTTAAAAAAAAAATCGAACGGTATATCGATACGTGCATGATTCGACGATGACAAGTACTGATCTAAACAATGAATTAGTCATCCGTTCTAATTTCGATCTGTAAGTTTGATAATCAACAGGTGAAATTTTTAATTTGTTAAGCAAGTTTATAAATAATATGCCGAACATCAATTATTATTAGAGAGATAGGTAGATAGATAGATATATAGATAGATAGAAGGATAAAGACAGAGAGATAGTAGTAGTGATATATTGTTAAAACAAGAACCTTAATTTATATAGAGAGACAGAAAGAGAGAGAGAGAAAAAGGACGAAATAAGAATGACACAAGGAATAACGAATCGAGCAAGGAGGAAGAACGCGAGGGAAAAACGTTAAAATAGAAAATATACGTATAGTTGGAAAGATGATCGGAACGTCGAACGAGACGACGAACCGTTCCTCCTCACGTTACGTTTTTCTAAAAATAAGCAGACTTCGAGCCTAGATACCTAGATAGTAGTCTACGAATAGTTGTTGGTGGTTGGGCGCGAGCAGACTCGTGGCAATTAGTCACCAATACGTTGATAGATCGTTTCGACGATCAATGGTCGAATTATTATATTTTCAATATAATTCGCCGATCGATCTTTACCACCTTCGTTATCTTACTTCTCTCGTTCATTTTGGAAGCGACAACGCGTGTCAAGGTCGTGCCTTTCATCGTCAACGTTTCGCGCTCGTATCGCGTTCGATAATTCTATCCAAAAGTAGAGAGGAGGATCCGCCGATTATCCGTTGATCTATATCACTGGCGCGTTACGTTTCGTCGAGACTCGCACTGAACTTGCACGCCAAGACTTCCAAACTATTTATCTCGATTCCATGTAACACGCACAATGAAGAATCGAATGAAAGAATGGCGACGCACTTAAGCGCGGCAATCTGATCTCCAATGATACGTTGCGAGGAAAGAAACGAACGAAATTGTTCGCGACACTTATTCGTGTGCTCGCGAACGAAACGTAACACTTGGAAGCACTGAACCACCCACAAAAACACCCACGTTTCACCATGAACGAAGGAGAAAACAACATACAGTGAGAAAGAAAGGAAGAGAGAGAAAAAGAGAGAAAGGAGAAGGAAAGAGTATGCACTACATATATATATGTGTGTGTATGTATATACCAACGATCCATTTTCGCACATTCTCACTCTCTTTCGAATCGATCTGTCAGTCTGTCAAAAGTGTTAAAACTTACTTGCAACGAGCGATGAAATATCCAAATAATTAGAAATCCTCGATTCCAGCCACCTTGGCAAGTTTTTTTAACGTTAATCTTTCGTTAGCTCGAATGGTGCGAGCTCACGCGGCTCGTTCGCGCACTTTTCTTCTTCTTCTAACGAGAGTAGAGAAATAATGACATTAAAAAAAAAAAGAAAGAAAGAAAGAAAAAAGGAAAAAAATACGGAAGAAAGAAGCAGAAATTTGTGAAGAATATTCGGTCGTGTTCGTCGTGGTCGTCGTCACTGTGTGGTCGTCGCTCCGCTTTATAATATATCCTGTTCGTTTCGCCCTGCCTCTTGTCTCTCCTTTTATACGGAGCGTCTATCTTGGCCGTCCCAGTCACCGGGGCCCCCGCGCGCCAACTAACCGCACGAAATGCCGCCGTCACACCTCGACGTCCAGTCCAGAGATTCTGCGTCGGCGCCACTTACTCTCGATAATTATTTCTCCCTGATCCCCTCCCACCGCCTGCGCACGCCTACGCCCCTCCTCCTCCCTCCCGCCCAATTTCGAGGCTGACTCCTGACACTGAGCCGTCTGACCACCATCGAGTCCTGCGCAATCTTTCGCCTCCTATCAACTCCATCCTTCACCTATCCAAGGTATCCACCCCTTTCCGCCCCTCGCGTCTGCGCTCTCACCTCCTTCTTACCCTTATTCTTGGCACTTCCGTTGCTATTGAACTTGAAACCTTGTAATTAGTGGGGGGAGGGGGAGGAGAGGGAATACTTGTTACCGATCGAGTTGACGCTACCGCGAAAATAACATCGAATGGCCGGATAGATCCTATTGTTTCGCGTTTTCGTTACCCCGTGTAAACGTGTGAGTAACGATAAAAATGGATAAACAATGTCTCATAGCCGAGTTAATTATCGTTGCAACCAAATTAAACGGATGACGGAACGTCGAAGAAATCAGTGTGCAAGAATTTTACGTTGGCGTCCTTGGATTGAAATTAGATTACGCATGGCAAGCTTGATAGGTATTCTTATCTTTAAATATAACCAATGTAGATTGAGCGTAAAAGTGAGAGATCGATGAATCAACGAGGACGAATATAATACGCGCGAGGATAAGACGCGATTAAGGTTTCATCGAAAGTCGATTCATCCATCTCGAAAAATTTTATCGTTGAATTTGATTTAGATTTAGCGAACAAAAGCAAAGGAAAGATATCAATGGTAATAGGAAATAGAAGTTCGCGCGAACGAGAAGTAGGTCTTGGCCACCATTCTCGACGAAAATAAATTTTTCACTAGCCATCGACAGTGTTTCGACGGTTAATCGATGTTTTTTTTTCACTTCGAATGGCGCCACGTCACCGCTACAACTTAACGGACAATAACGTTCAATTTACAAATCGCCAAATTTGCAAACATGTTTGATTTTGAAGAGCGTTCGAAACATTTTTGGCCGGCTTTCAAAACTTCGATCGAGTACACAATGTCGATATCTGCTCAAATTTCCTGCAATTCTCGTCTGACTAATGCAGTTTATCTTTCCTCTTATTCTCTTTTCGCCAAATTGATCACAGGCAAATCGAAATAGATTTACGAACATCGACCCTTTAAGAAACTTATTGGTCACTTTTCGAGATAAAAATTTTTATTCCTTCAATTAAAAATGTACCTAAGAAATCTAGAAGATAACGATGGGAAGATGACATTACGACAGAGAAAGTTCCTGTTGAATTATATTTGATACACGAACAGTTGGAATATGCGATATTACGAGGAGAATGTGTATAATAGATATAGAATATTTTTTCATATAAATAAGGAAATGTTACGATACGTTCTTAGTGAGTAACAAATGAGATATAGTGAGAGAGATAAAGAGAAGAAATCACGAACCCGATGTCGAGATACGAGTCTCTCTCGGTTCTGGCAAGCCAAGCACTTTTCTAAATATACACGATCACCCCTCACCGCTCAATCTATCTTTGCGTATTAGAATCTATACCTAACGACCTGAACACTCGCGCTTCCACTATTCCACGTCGTCGATATCCACGAATCCGATCTTATTCCAAAATCGGCCGATCTACAATAATATTACGACAGAAATTCTTCCCTCTCTTTACCCTCCAATTACGACTAATTACTGAAAAAAAAAATTTAATAAATACGATAATATACGTCATAGAAATGGATCAATAATAATTAAATCTTACCTAAGATTTAAATTTTGTCGATTTGCTCGATAGTTATTTCTTTATGATTAGAACAAACAAACGTTTTTATGCAAACGTTTTCGTTCTTCAAATCGATCGTGAAAATTTTACCTGGAACGATCGAGACGAGAAGATCGATACGACGATCGAATCGGATGTTGCCGAATGATTTATGGGGAAAGATACATGGTTCATCACAAATAAGCAAAGCTGCTATGTAAATTTCGCGTTTTCGCGGAAACAAAAACATAAGAGTCAAAGAAGAAAAATGCCAGAGAACGTTTTAACAGAATAAGCCAGCTACATGAAGTTTATCTTTCCGTAATGGTACTCTGGTTTCGAAACTGCATCGCCAAATCCAATGCTTTCGTTGTCCATGACGTAGATATTTTTCTCTGGAACGAATCTTCCAGAATCAGTTTCATCGAATATATCAATCAGATTTATCTCAATTTAATCTCTTTATTGGTTATTAGTTATGCACAAGGCGGAATACGTTTGGTCTACGTTATATCAGCACTTCACACAAAATTTTTATATGTACTCAAACGATCGAAAAAAAAAAAAACTTTCGTTACGAAACGAATGATCCATGCCACTAAAATTTCACACGTCTTATGCTCGAAATATTTTTAGGTTGCTTTACTTTTAGCATGAAAGACGAAAAAATAAAGGTAATCCGTGACTCTTCCAATTTATTAGTTTTCATCCAAGTTTTCCACATCGAAGAATATCGTTTGTTTAAGCTTAGTATATATCTTGGTGTCTTTTTTATCTCGCAGCATCGTGTAATCAATTATTTCGATTATTATATTCTCGATACAAATCGATATATCTTGATCGATATAAATACGGTAACACGTGTGCAGATTTGCGTATAGAACCACCAATATTTTTACAGTGCTACCAACTGCGTTTGTTATCGTTCATTGGTTAACGGTCGAAATGGCACTATGCGCGCAATGTATGTTCCGCCACCGAATATCATCCTTCCATCAAGAGAAATAGAATTAAATGGGGGAAAAAAGGATGTTTCGATAAGAATTAGAATAATCAGAGAATCGTTTATTTGTACATTTATCAGATTTTCCTGCGAGCAAGTGGACCCGAGTGGGCGAATGGCTCAAGTAATATGGAACAGCCGATCTAAACTTAGTCGTTGGTCCGTTCTGGAAATAGATGTTATGAGTGCGAGGACAAGACAAGATACCGGCCTCTATTATGCGTACGAACACGTATCGCGAACGATCTGCTTTCGATTTTCCCTTCGATCGCGAAATTCTTTTAGAGCGATGATTTCTTTCTTCCCGATAAAAATTTCAAATGTGTCCAATTGACGAAACAATTGACGATTTTCAATACGAAAAAAGAATTTAAAAAATTTTAAAATATTTATGTATCATCTTTTCCTTCATTCGTTAATATTAATATTTTATTCACTTTGAAACATTTCGAAACATTGCGTGCTTAACTTTAAAATACAGTAGAACGTCAATTATTTAAAGATTAGTTATTCAAATAATCGATTATTCAAACACAGAATGAGAATGTATTTAAACTAGCATATCTCCCAATGTTTATATTCTGAAACACGTATCCTGAAAATACGTATTCTGAAAAACGATTAAAAATTTAATTATAATGCAAATTCTCTTATTATGAATTTATTTAATAAATATCTATGTTTGAAAATTGTTCAATTTTAATTATTTGCAAATGTAGTTCTTGAGAAATTTAACTCTTCCTTATCGATTATTTGAATTTATTTTTTAATTAGTTTGATAATCGATATTTTATGTATATAAATCTACTGTTTACAAGTTTCCATATCCTAACTAGACAGTTACCGTGCAAAAGTGTCAGCAGAATGTTTATAACGTCTAGCGAAGCATTTATTTAGCGAGCTGATATCTATTTTGGGAGAAATTGCATCTTGGAATAACGCGTTGGAAAGCAGCACAGTCAACAACGGATCATGTCGAGTTAAAATAACGTCAACGATTACCGAACATTTTGAAATGTTACCATGTGTACAAAGCAAAGTATTTGAGAAATGAAAGGAAAGAATTGAGAATGAAAGAAATTGTAATCAAGTAAAATTTAATATATTTATATTGTAATTGATTTTAGTTGTAATCAATATAAGCAAATAATTTTTTTTTAATTCGAATAAATTTGATCAAAATCAATGAAAAAAATTCCATTCCCGAAATTCATTTTTATGTATGTACGAATGACAAATTCAAAAACCATTCTGCATTTCTTGCCTTTCTATTCTTAGAGTACTAAACTCCCACGCGGTTACTTAATATCCCAGACTCATACTACGTAAGTATTCACTGATTTACACAATTTGGTAATTTTATCATATAACAATATCATTGAAATTCTACTTCAAAATATATCACTCGTTAACTTTCACTTGTTTTCCTTTTATTAGAAATTATAACGATTTATCCTCGATGTTTTTTAATATCATCTCCAGGTTTTTTAATATCATATTAGCTAATTATTGTATATCAATTTCCACATATCGAACTAGCGTATAAAAATAGATAATAATAAGAATAATTATATACACTTCTCGTTTGAGGTTATGAAATCTAATGTTGTCACTATGTTTTCTTATTGTTTAATAATTATGTACCTTGAATTCCGAAATCGATGACTTGCAGCAATGGTGTATTTGTTAACGTATAACGTCGAGATCGAGAAATCGTCTCGATATCGAGAGTGAACGAGACGATCGGCACAATTCCAAAAAGCAGGCAATCCTCGATAATCTCGAAATAACGAAAACCTCACTCCTTCTCTCGCGTAGCATTACAACGACACATCTTCCCTCCATCTTCGTCGTATAAGAGACGTATCTATATTTCCTCTTCTTCTCACCTATACATAGTTGCACGACTACCGATTATTTTTGGATGTGGCGCGACAAAGAAAATGTGATTTCTGAGTGCATACGAATGACCAAGAACGCTAATCGATGTGTCGGAAAGAGAAAGATCATAGAAAAGTTGGATCGAGAGAGATGTTAGTGTATACGCGCGAGTTTGAGAAGGAAAAGAAGAAGGAAAGAGAAATAGAGGGAGAAGGAAAAAGAAAGAGAAAGGATAAACGAAAGATAAAGATAGAGACGAAGGGAGGAAGAGAGAGTGGAACAAGGAAAACAAATATCGTGAAAACGGTTAGCGCCGTCGGCGTAACCTGAGAGCTTTTCGGACCCTGCATCCATATATGTCCGCCTCATATACTCTTTCTCACTCGCACTACATTCAATCCCGTCGTGCCTTCTTGCTTCCACTTATCAATCAAATAATCTGTTTTTGCAATTCTTTTTCCCTTATTTTTTCTTTTATATATTTATATGCTATTATCTATTAGATTATAATTTATTAATTATTTACTTTATTTTATTTTTTTTATTCGCAATAATTTTTTCTTTTTTCTACATTATCAATACATTGTTAATGCACCCTTTCATATGTATGCATACTATTCTTTATAAATATCAAATCTATATACATTTGTATAATTTATTATTGTATATATTTTTTTCTAAATCTATAGAATAAATTTATTATTGATGCTAATACTAATACATTTTTATAATCAATAAATTTTAATTGATTAATTAGTTATTTTTCGAGCGAAGAAAATTGTTTTACCATAAAAATAATTATATCCACAAATCAACAAGACAAAATATAGAAGTTTTTCGCATTTTAAAAATTAATTAAGGTAAACATTTTATATAAACATGAATAACAAGAAAAGAAAACAAAATAAAAGAGTATAATAAATTTTTCTTATAATTATTCATCCAATCAAATATTTCATAGTAATTCAAAGTAAAGATAAATAAGTATTAAAAATATAAAATTTTAAATTTTCTTTATGGTTATAACATATCCTGTTCTAAATTACAGACGAGATAAAAAATAGACTTCATGTTAATATCTCATGTACTGAAATTTACCGATCGTGGAAGGAATCAAAGATTTTGATAAATCATCTATAATTTAGTACATTGATTTTAGAAATTATATCACAAATACGATATCACTATTACGTCATGTGAAATTTTTCATATTTTGAAATTTTAATCTTAAAAAAAGTTAGAATGCTTTTCCACAATACAGATAAAAAATAGAATAAACGTGAAAAATTTCGTCTCATATATTTTAAAATACCGATTATAAAAAAAATTAGTGTTTCTTATCCCCTTTAATATATTATAATCTAAATACATCAAATTTAAATTGAAAATTTGAAATATTTAAAAAAAAAAAGATCTTAGAAAATGATATCAATAATTAACATCTCACAAATTATCTATACATCATTTGTGAATAGTATGAAAAAGTAAAATAAGTTATTAAAATTAATTTAAATATTAAATAATTTAAAAAAAAATGGTAAATTTTTTAAATAAAAAAATCGTAAACAAAACAATAAAGTTAATCTGATATTTAATAACCGTCTCAGAGAATAAAGAAGGATAACAAATAATATAAGAAACAGAAATAGAGTAAAAATTAGGAAATCAACGCCATCTCTAGAATATTGCAGATAACACGTAATAGATAGAAAAGAAAAGTAAATGACAGGAAAAGGATAGATATATAATAAGAATTGACCATCAACGCCATTTTTTAAGTACCAAATTTTTCTAAAAGTTATTAAGAAATGACGCTGATTGTTAATTCTTACTCTACTTTATCCTTTGAAAATTTTATTTTCAATTATCAAATTCTTATTCTATGTTGTATCACTAACCTTGAAATTGACATTAAAATGATACAAAAGAGTTTTCGTGTTATAAGTGATAAATTCACTACCGTACGGACATTTTTAATATAAAATTAAATTACTTATAATTTGAAAAATAAATCCTATAAATAATATTTCTGCATATTAACATTTGTCTTTATTTTAAAATCAGTTCTTTAAAGAGATGAAAAACCACATTTTATACTAAAATAATAATGAACATTAATTAGTATAAGTTTTCAAATGAATAATAAAGAAAGGTTATAAAAAAAAAACATGAATAATATACATACGTACAATATTATTTATACAAAAATATATGTAAATAAACATAATTTGATGAATAACGTACAATTAAGTATTGTCATCAAAGCTAATTCTTAAAGTTATGCTTACAAAATACATTAAACATGTGCAATAATTGTAACAATATATGTATTTAACTCTTAATTAGAGCATTTATATACATTTCAAGAAATCGGTGCAATAATTCGTATGAAAAATTAACATTTCAAAAAGTATTATAAAATATAATATTTTGATTATAAAATATTATTTTGTTTTCAGTGATTACAAAGTTATAAATAATATATTTTTTTAATAGCATTTTATACGAGTAAAAAGTGAAAAATACAAGTTTTAAATATAAAGAATCATTGATTCAAATTTGAAACTGTGGCATATTTTATAAATATATTTTTCTCCATTCAGTTTTGCATAAACTTTAATTAATATGAATTTCATTTCCAATGATTTTCTAAATTTAAAATTTATATTTTTGGAATCTATTGATTGAATAATTATAAAAATAAATAAATAAAATATTTTTGATTGCTTAAAATGAAATTTAGCCTATGATTTCAATGATTGAGTATAGATTAATTTCATAACATTACATAACATAATTTCATTTTTAAATTCGAAAAAAACTTTTGAACGCGTTATACAATAAAGCAGCCGCCAAAACAGAAATTATTATATAAAATAAGATAATAGCAATAATAGATTGCACCGCTCTTGATATTCAGAAATCTAATATTTACAAAAATGAACATGCGTATACATCGAAATTCGCAAAAATATTGCGATAAAACGAAAAATATATAAAAATTTATACAATACATATTCGATACAAAATATTAACCGATAGATAAATGAATTAATTTTAAGTGATTCGATGTTTTTAATCAAAAATACGATCGATCAATTAGTCGCTATAATGCAGAGTTAACATTCGCAATTCAAAATCAAATTAAAATTTGAATTTATTTCACATTGATTATTAATTATAGAAGACAAAAGCATACCAAGGAATTTGAATTTGAATTTGAATTTGAATTTGAATTTAAATAGAACAAAAATGATAAATAAATAAAATTTTACACAAAAATTATTTTTCTAATTGTAATTTTTTTACAGATTTTTTAATTTCTTTCTATAACAAAATTATTTTATTATATTTGCAATTTACGTAATTGAAAATTTATTCATTGTCATGACTGAATAATTTTCTATTTATCTATTTTCGATTTACGTCATGAAAAAAATATATCTTTTTGCACATTATAAAATTTTTTTCAAAATGATAAGAGTTTCAACGAAATTATGGATAAAAGAGAACAACTATGTTTGTCGTGCTTTGAATAAGAATCCATATAATTACAAAAGCGTCTGATTTTATCCATTTCACATGATGATAGACACATAATACAAAATATTGTTCTAAAAAATTATATTTTAAAATAATATTTTTTAAGAATTTTGTTATCAATATTCATATTAGATCCATATGAAACATGATGATTAATTAATTTACCAATTGAATATTAAATGCATTATTTTGATATTAATTACTCGACTAAAAATATATTTAGACAAAATTAACTAGATCTCGAATTTGCAAAAAGTCTCTCAAGAAAGAATAAGAAAATCAATAATAAATTATTCTCTTTCGTTGTAATATTTAATCAGAAATACATGATAAAAAATTTATCGATATTTATCATGACTAAAGAAATTATCGCAAAAATGAAATGTATACCGGTACATATCGTGCGAAAAAAAACAAAACATCTAGTTTCTAAGTATTCACGTAAAATACGAAACACGACGCAAAAGGATCACGACGACGATAATTGAAAGTTACACAACAAGTTGTCGTAATATTTAGCAATGTTAGAGAATAGTTTCCTGCAAATCCTGCGACTTTCGGTTCGTCGCACACGCTATGTGCAACCTCTAATGGGACGAGGAAATTCGTCCAAATCTTCTCACTATTGTTTCGTCGTATTTTTACACGCTGATACATTCCTTAAATTACATAATACCGTACGAATGTTGGCTGAATCTTTACTGCATCAAATATCGATCGATTTTATCATAACTTTCTTTTCTATGTCGCAATAATTTCAAGATATCTTAGCTTTGAAAGATATAAATTCTTTCAATGCACAATAAAAGAACGAGCGATATATTAAATTTTTAAATTATTATTTAAAAAGAAATAGAAATTATCGATGACGCACACGTCACGCGACGCGCGTCGCGCAACGTCCTACACTTTCTCTCGCATCGTCGTGATCGTCCTTGATGCGCATAATTTTCGCTATAGTTAACAAGATTACTGTATAGTCTACTAGAACAAGAAACTTTTTTTTCAATCGATTGGAATATGTTTCAATGTTCATACTTACTATTATTCGTACTATTTTTTGTGCATTTGTAATTGTCTTAATATTTATTAAACATTCATATTCGACATATTATTCAATTTTAAATAAAATTACGGACATATGTGCGTGTTTTTATATATTAGAAGTTTCGAAAATTGTTTGAAATCTGAAAAGATTGTGCGCATGCCAATAATACATGCGTTCAGTTCAGCGTCGTATAAACGTCCGATGTTACGTTCATCCGAATAAATCGACGTAAGGATTCTATCTATTAATAGCGAGATAAAAAAGGAGCACCGCGCATAGTCGACAAATTATCAAAAGAGGCAGACGAAATTGCCGTTATAATTTTTGTACGATGTCAAATTTGTCCTTGAAACCGATTGATTCTTTCTTCGGATCGTATTTCTTGCGTAGAGCTAGCTGGGCTCTAAGTTCTTTGGCACTCATCTTCAGGTTCAAACCCTGTCGTGACTCGTTGTTACCGGTGACGTTCCCGTTTCCTGTACCATGCACGTGCGCCATCGTCGTCGTCGTATCGTTCTTAATACTGTTCCCGTTCTCTTGGCCAGTTTCTTCGCGTTCGCTCTCGTTTTCGTTATCGTTCTCGCTTCTGGTCGATGTTCTCGTTGCGCTTGCCGATACAGTGCTGCTCTCGCTATGCAACGTATCGTTCGATCCACTTGATTTTTGTGCGTTCTGAAAATAAACATTCCTTTTATTTCCTTATCTCTAATATACGTATTTATATCGTTATTTTTCTTCTCTCTCTCTCTCTCTCTCTCTCTCTCTCTCTCTCTCTCTCTCTCTCTCTCTCTCAACGAACAAAGAGAAACAAAGCAAAATTCAAAAGGGGGACGAAAGATAATGGGAGATAGTCGTGTCACGTATGAAAGTCGATCGCGTAAATACTCGGTCGCGCTGAAATAAAATATCAACTGTGAATTTTTCGCAGTGACACGAATTGGCGTTAAGCGTGTGAGACATTTTTATTTTCCACATTTAAAATAATTCGTTTTAGAATAACGGGAAGTAAAAGCAAAAGGTAATTAAGAAATAGAATAGCTTTTTTTAAAAACCGATAAATTTGGAAGAAGGGAGTCAAAAACGATGGACAAATTTATCTAAGAGATTCAAAATGACCTTGGCTCCTGATGCAATATTCCGAACGGTACTTAAAGGAATTCCATCGACTAAAGGCAAGCGCGACGGAAAACCGGTTCCAAACCACACACCGTTTAAATCTCTTCGAAATAATGTTAGTTCGTTTCTCCTTCTCTAACACACTGTTATCGTGTCCGAAATTGAAAAAAAAAAAAAAAAGAAAAAATCTCACTTCTCCAAGAATTGGACTTGGATCACGAACCAAATGATTTCCAAACATCGTATATCTTTTCACACGTTGATCGTAATAATTGATCGTGATGATACGAAGAACGAAGCTCGATACGAATGACTAATGCTAACAAAGATTAAAATAATGAAGTAACCTCTCTATAAAAATTGAGAATCTATGCCGCGGCATTGAGATAACTTGATTAATTCTCTCACACGAGTTTCTTTGTTTTTTCATGCAATTGAACAGTGTTGTAACCAATCATAATTAAAATCAGATGAATCAGGCAATCTTCTTAGATCGAATATCTTTTTTTTGAAATTATTCGAAATTATCGCGTACATATATTCTCTGTCGAGAAAAACACGTAAAAGATCCAATTGTTTTAAAATTGGATTTGACAGGATAAAATTGCAAAACGGATACATTTACGTGTTATTTATCTTGTATTATAACAGTTTTAATTAATTTGATACACGATATGCACCTAATGCCCTGATTCTTTTCGAGAGGGACGACCTTATCTGCATATGCATTCGCCCCGACATTTTGGCACGCTTTCTTTAAAAATCGCTTGAACGATGCACACGGAAATAGAATAAGAGCGGATAACGGACTTTTAAGGCTAAGTCGTTGTCACGAAAGAATTTCACCCGATTTTACATCGTGACATCGTTACCATCTCTCCATCTCTCTCTCCAACTGATCGCGAAATATTTCCAAAGATCCTCCTTCTTTCCACTCGAAGTTAAACGATTTTCCCTCTCGTTCGCGCACCGTCCACGCCACACGCTTGCTCTATTGCGCAACGGAAAATGGTGACAGGAAGTTGACCAGCAGCCTGTAGAGAGGCGATTAACTATGTATTTACTACACGAGTGATCGAACTGACGAATCGTGAACAACGAGGAACGCGTAAAAGCAACATTTCTAGAAACACGTTGATTCATTTCACATTTCTTGTTTTACTGTTTTACCCTGGACATATATATATATATATATATATATACACACGTTGATTCATTTCACATTTCTTGTTTTACTGTTTTATCCTGAACATATATATATATATATATATACACACACACACATACATATACGAACACAAGTTGGTACGAATAACGATATATATATATATATATATATAGATATACGAACACAAGTTGGTACGAACAACGAGAAATTTACGTAACTTTGCGCCGCAAAAATGAGCGGAAATCCGGTGAATCGTATCGACGGAGGACAAATCTTTCGATCGAGATGCGAGATAGTTGGTACGATCGGATTCCACGTATAGCAGCAAGATGATCGAGCGCGGATCCCATGAAGACGAATTAAGGTCACAGCGACGAATGTGCCATTTTCTAAAGGAGTAATTTCCGCCGATTAACACCGTAATTGTTAACACGCGAGAATGGTTATGATATCGGTTCAATGAGAACCGATGGCCAAACAATTGAAACGTTTCCGATAAACTTCGTCACGCGTCTTGAAATTCCATCGAGAAAATTGATCGCGTGTAATAACTAAGAAACGAATTTTGTGATGTTTTTTTTTTTTTTTTTTTTTTTTTTTTTTTTTTTTTTTTTTTTTTTTTTTTTATTTACGTGTCTTATCGCTCGCGAACAAAACGAATGAGTCACTCAATGCTCGCGAACGCTTACCTTCTTGCGCTTACCGATGAATCGCAACGGAAACAAGGAAACTGATGCCGAAATAGAAAAATTACTTACTTTATAACTTTGGTTCTCGGGAACGAGAGACGGGAATGAAAGAGAGAAAGAGAGAAACGGGCAAGGAATAACTAGCGAGGAAACAAAGTGGTTTTATACGATTTCGTGACCTTGAGAAAAAATTCCCAGTATTTGATTTTACTTTGTGATTTTGTTACCAAGTCAAGATTTACGTCGGACATGATACATTGAAATAAATAAGAAAAGAATAAAAGAAACGTTGGTTGATTGCATCGTAAACTTCAATCTATTCGTTTCCCCGTTAAACAAAAAGCGTAATTTATAGATCAATAGAATGGCATTGATCACGAGTTAATTGATTAGTTTTTTTTTTTAAATGATTTTAATAATACGTTAGAACGATAAAGAATAAAAGAATTTAGAAATTTGAAATTAAAAATAAAATAATAAAATAAAATAAAAAGAGAAATGGAAAAGAGATTTTTATAAAACATAATTAATGGTTGCAATTACGAGACACGCAAGATAAGTAATATTCATGGAAGCTGCGATAGGAGTATCAACATCAAACATGTTATCGTCGGATGGCGTTTTACCAGAAGAAATCAACGGATGTAAGTACTTACATTGTAGTTTTTCATTCCTAAATACAATAGAGAACGTATATTCAACGTATCGAAATATTATACAAAAGTTCGTAAACACTTGTTTTTATGTATATGTTATACATATGTGCACTAGTTGCGCAACATCTGTTTGTGAAATATTAGTTTTAATATCGATAATTTTGCCTCGATGAAAGATAATTTCATTATCGAATTATAGATCATCGATCAACGTCTGCTAGATCGAATAGATTATCCTGAATTGCAATATTCAAATATCGCATTTCATGCAATTCATATTTTTAGAATACAGAATGAGAAATCGAAACTACTTTATTCGTTCGCATACTATAATATATATGGTAAAGCGACGCAACATTCCCCACGTATGGCGCGTTAGCTTTTTTCTTGTTTTTTATTCGTAAATTGCAGCAAACACAGATGTTCGAAAACTTAGACTGATGAAACTTACTTAGCTTATCTCAAAATATATATATATATATATAGAAAAAAAAAAAATGACATTTTTCTCTCTTTAAAAAACATTCTGTCACATGTTGATAAGATGAATTGCGAACAGATATTATATAGTGATTATTTATAAAATCAAAATTCACTTTAATCCGAAGAAAAAAATAAGAAACAAAAAAACACGTTACAATGAAAGATGATTTACTATTTTAACCGTCGGATTTATATGATTCAAAAGATGATAAAAAAATTAATGCTTTTACAAAATTATACAATGTATGATAAAAGATTATATGTTTTAAAATTGTTAAAAATTATTTAGAACTTTTAAAATAGAATAGAAATTTTATCATTATTTTTATGATTTATTAATTAAAAGCAGAATATTTCTGAAAAAAATTTTTGAAAAAAATTCGAAAAAGAGATATATGGATAACTAAAAATTGTTTACATGACAGGTTATAACGTATTATCAAACGATAGATATAAATTATCGAAGCAACAGGTGGAGTGGACTCTCAATTCTAAGATTTTCTACATTGGGCAACAGATAACTTTAAAAATAGTAAAATGATTGTGAATATCCGAATAAATAAACGAATAAACGATACACACCTCATCAGTGGAAGCATTGCTGCCGTTAAGCTCTTCTTGTTCGCTACTATTCGGATTTTTCTCTGGGGTCTTGATCACCTTGACGTTCGCCATAGTGCCCTTGATAACGATGTTGTTGGCCCTGAAATATTCGTCGGCTTCTTGGTCGACCACCAGAAGCTTCGTCTCATTAGGAAAAGCCTTTATGCGTTCAACAACCTGCTTATGAGTCTCGTTTGCGATGTTGATTTCATTAACCTCGATGATTCGATCACCTTGTCGTAAACCAGCGGCCTGACTAGGAGAACCGTCGTCCACCTTACCAATAAATTGACCATTTTTTCCTTTTTCTGCGTGTAGGTTAAATCCATAGCCGTCAAAATCATCCCACTTGACGATATGGCAAAGTCGGGCACATGGAATTTTATCACCCTTCAAAGAAGACATGTCTCACCCTTGTAGTTATGTAGTGCACTGAACGAAATAAAAAAACAATCGAAACAAATCGAGACCAATCAACGACTAAGTGACAAAAGAAAACAGAAAAGTAACACGTTACACGGATAGTTACGCGAAATTTTGTATACCGTATCGCACCGCAATAAGTAACAAAATTTCTTGTGGAAAATTGAGGTGCGGTTTCGTGGTTCGTCCGTACCTCATACGGCGACTAGTTGACTAGGTGATTGGATAGCTGGCAGGCTCGGCCTCGCCGATTTTCGTCTTCACCTGCCACGAGGCGATTATTCGAACCGACTGGCGGTATGCATCGTCGTGAATCGAAGTGAATCAGTAAGCACTAGCGTGGGGGATTCGAAACTTAAAGGTTGGTTCATGCGTACACGAGATCACGTGATCAAAACCGCGAACGAAATGACAGTTAGAATTTTTAGAAATATCATGATTTTAATAATAGATTGAAAGTAACGCTTATAAAATTTATCCAAGATATCATAAGTAACTTTAATCAAAAACTGAAAATATGAAAATAAAATGAAAAGAAAAAAGATAAATTAAAGATTTTAAGAGAAGGAACTAAAAGAATAAAAGTGAACCTGTACACCGATCATGTTGATATAATGGAATGCTATTATTTGCTCATAGCACCATCTATCGGTAAATTAAGAAAATTCAAAAAAATACATGATCAAAATATAAATCATGGTTAAAATTTCACAATTTTATATTTTTATATTAATATATAGATATATTGTTTTTTCATGGTTGTTTATAGCTATTATTATTTGTTAATTATGATCAAAATAATTGTTATGATTATTGCTTTATGAAAACTATCAAATATCTATTGCAAGTGCATATTTCATGAGTAAAGAATTATGTTGATGCATAAAATAAATTAAACGATAAAATTATCTTTATGCGATATAATATAATGTATCATATATGTTAAATGGAAATAATTTCAAATGCATAATAATTGAGAAAGAAAAATCATTGCATAATTTTTAATATTTGTTAAAGAATTTTCTTGCATTATAGTTAAAATGCGATCTAATTGTTAAGTGACTTTTATTAATCATCAAACTTGACTTGGTACGCTCTGAAATTTTGTAAATATGCGAAGAACAATTGTATGAAATATTACTTTATACGTTACATATACGTTATACGACATTTGTTTTTAAAAATGCATAAATTTTTTCAATGTACTGTTTGAGTTGTGACATTATGATAAAAAAGCATTTTATTATTTATAAATAGCACTTTAATTCTTACAAATTTAATAGATATCTACATGTATATGAATATGTAATAAATATTGTACAACCATGTTAATATTCATAAAAATATAATTTTTTAATCATTTTCTATCGAAATAATAATAGCATTTCGCATTTTAATATTTTCATTAAATTTTAAAGGAAATTATGATTTAATATATTTAAAAAAATTTCAATTCAACATTTATAAATATGTATATCTGTACGCATATAGGTATATAGATTAAAATTTTTTTAAATTAAAATTTGTAAGATTTTAATTACATGTATAAATTATTATAATAATTATAATTACATATACATATTAAAATTTCTATTTGTTTAAATTCAATGGATGAACAACATATAAATCATATATATATATATATGTATATTATAGTCGATATTGATTATAAATATTAAATAGTCTATAATATGCAAACATATACCATCGTACAATCGTCATAATGTTAATCTGACAAATAAGTACTATGTGTATGATAAAAAAAAATAAATCTTGCGATAACATAACCATGACGAATCTGTGATAAAATAATACACGATAATAATATAAAATGATTTGATCAAAATGCATAATTCTTCGAATATTTAATAAATATGTTTTTTTCTCTAAAAAATTGTTTAATTATCTATTTTATTTTATATATTTCATTAATACTTAAAACTGTTTTATCATTAATATGTCTCAGTTGTAAAAAAATTTCAGTTATAAAAATTAATCAGAAATATGTATTGTTTACTTATTCATTAGTTACAAAACTGTACATACAATGTTTGCATATTCAATTCTCTAATTTCTATTTACTTGTATATTTCCGTATTTTACCGATGACTAATCACAATGATTACACATTGATGGACTACTTCATATCTCTAAATACGTACGATGTATATAAACTTCCTTTTAAATGTAACAAAGTAATTACTATTTGAAATATACAACAAAGAAATTATTTATTTATACTTGAATAATGAAATTGTTATTTCACAAAATAAATTACAAAAATTTATAATAATTTTAATATTATATTATTCAAATTTCTTTAAAAATAAAGAAATTTTAAATTTTCAAATAAATTAATTCATTATATGTTTATAAATTAAATTAATAAAAATATATATCAATAATATAATAAGCGTAGGGCTATTGAAATATATCATACGATCCCGAAGCATGAGTGGATGCGCAAAACTGGATGCGCAGTAGTTACCGTAATGGTGCGCGATGCGCAAGGCGGACGTAGCGGTTGTTCGAACACTAGTCAACAGTACAGTTGTCGTTCATACATTGCATCAGTGGATAGTTTGTTGGTGTGGTTAATTTACGTAGTACGTAGAGTTGTGGAAATCAAAACGCGTAATGCCAGTAATCGACATTAAAGTAGTGATAGTTACGTAGATTGGCTCTTCGCAGAAAGAACAACAGATGAATATTTGTGATCGTACGTTGTAACTGAATCGAACAAAATGTGGAGTCCGACGCACGTTCAAGTGACAGGTATGTATACTAGGAACTTCGAAGTAAGTTCCATAACGTAACGGATAGAAATATGATCTATGCGGCAGGTGGTTTATACTGAATATAAACCAATTAATGCTTACACGTAGACTAGGTTACGTATCCTTCAATGAATGTAGGCAATCGAAACCTTGCAATCTCGTTATAGCTTATTAGAAATTTATTTACTGAGAAAGTAGATCTTTTACATTGTCTCTTAAGAATATAGTATATATATAATAGTTTTCTAGACGTGGACGATGTGTCTTACTTACCTCGATTTCGATCACGATATTTTTAAATGATTAATGTGAATTAACTTTCGATGTGTTTAATTCTTTTTGTTTAAAATTTATTTTTGTAAAAGTTTTAAAAAATAAATATCCAAGAAAATTTTCATCATATTCAAATGCAGTGTCGCGTAACGCGATTGTTAGATTGGAAAGAGGCGGTGAAAACTCAAATACCTTAAAAACACGAACATTGCTTGAATCAAAAAGATAGCGATCTTATATGTGCATTCCTATACATATTTTCATTAATTACGTGCACGAACAGTACAAACTCTACATTCTAGTTCCTCGATAGATATAAACATTTTCACTCTAGACGAATATCTGGCATAAAAGTCATATTATATTTTGCAATGTATTTGATCGTTGCCAAAATAAAGATAATGTATTTAAATCGCGCGCATTTACGACGCATCATTTACGACCCACATATTCGACGAATCAAATTTCGAAAACTGACTTACTTAATTTGCTTAGTAAAATTTATACAAATATTCTATATTATATAAATCAAATCATTGTCAACGATTATTTTCAATAATTTTTCGTTTAAAAATATCATCGATTACTTTTATCGCTAATGTTCATAATCATAAAAGATTTTTTACAAGTTGACAAACTTTTAATACTTTCGTTTCAATGCAAAATAGGTAGAGTGTGAAAGCATATGTACTTATGTAGAAGCAGCTGATGTTCCCCTTCTCATTCGTACATGTGTAAGTATTATATATCCTCTGCTCAGGATCGTATATCTATTATTAAGTACCCTTTTCTTTTTTCTATTCCATTTTTTTTTTTTTGAATTAAAAACAATAAACAATATTTTAAATTATACTTCTTGTTTTATTATATAAAACTGTTGTCATTTTGAAGAAAAATAAAATAAAAATTATCATATATATATATGTGCTAATTTTTTTTTTTTAATTTAAAGATTTCTTAAATTTTTAATTTAAAGATTCTATAAAACTAATTACTATGATAAATCATGGTAGACTTTTTCTTATTGATGAATAAAAAAATATTTTAAACCAATTAATTGGGACTTCGGACCGTTAAGAATGTTCCTTTACGAGTAAACGGTATTTTGATGCAGCTGCTACGCTATGTCTAACCGACACATCTTTTCGCTTCGTTTAATCGGATCGTGGAAACATGTATAGAGAGAGTTGATTTTCCCATCTGAATCAACTTTATTTAGCGAGAAATCAAGGAATAATACATTTCATTCGATTCAAAAAATTATCATGCGCTTTATGCATGACTAAAATGAAAAACATAAATATTAGCAAATAAAGCAAATATTATTCATAATTATAAATTATAGATAATATAAATTCAATTTATAAATGTTGTTTCAAAAAATTATTATTTTTCAAAATATGATGTAATAATAATAATAAGAGAAAAAAATTTTATACGTTAATGCTACAATAAGAAATAGGATTTTTTCTTGATCTTATATCCTGTGTGAAAAAAAGATATTAGAGAGACTCGAAAAATAGCGGAGTAACAGTACGATAGAAGCGCGGTTTCACGGTAAGAATGCAATGAATAATAGTCGAGAACCAATACGTTTACGGTTTTACCATTATAAAAAGGTATGTTATTATGTTTCTCAGTTGTGATGCGACTCTTCATAAAACATTATCTGACATATTCTAACGATTTCATATTCTGGCCAGATACATCTGGCATAATATTTTATCGTTCATAATTAAGCACGCGGATACGCCTTTTCCTCTTTATCTCATTTTTATAATAATAGAATAGATAAAGATTTCAATGAAAATTTTCAATTTTGGTATTTAAATAAATTGATAATTCTTTTTTTATCTATTCCTTTCTTATTTTATAATGTCTAATAAAACTTCTTTTTATGTTCACAGTTCAAAGAGCGAAAAATTTGTTAACCAAAGGAAAACACAGTAAGTATATTGATTGATCATTAAAGTAAAGAATAGACCTTATATAATGTTATAATAAAATGTCATATATATGATATATATACATATATCAAATTTCGTAAAATAGCATAATACAATTTTTCGATGTCAGTAAATTTGTTTCATCAAAGAGATTCATATTTCAAAACAATGAAAAATAAGTTTTTGTTGCCATTGCGTCATTTGTGTTCCGAATATCGAAGTATGTAAAAATGTTTAATCATAAAGCTGAACAACATATATATAAACTTTATAATATAACGAATCGCATGATTGTCATTTTTTTAATATAGAATTATTAATAATCTTAAAAAGACACGTTTGTAATTTCAATTGTTGTTGAACAATCTGATATTATTATTAATATTATTATTGTTATTGTTTTTATTATATTATTATTATTATATATTTTCAAATCTGATGTTCAGTTAATAATAGAATGATTAACATTGCCTAAACAATATAAAAGAATTACAAAAATAATTCATCTGAATGATGATTAGACAATTGAAATCGTTTCTTGCGAGATTTTAACATTCATTGTTTGACTTATTAATTTAAATTTATGGTCGACACCTACGTTAAATGGTTTCCACCCACGTTAAATCATTTAACCTAATAACGCAGAGTCCAACGATTGTTTCGTGACGATTGCGCTCGGAAAAGAAAAATATCAAACGTCTGTGAAGGAGAAAGCTTCGAAGGATGTAGAATGGCACGAAGAATGTGAGTTACTTATACCTGAGCAAGGAAACACTGCGGAAATTATCCTTACGGCCCTCCATCGTAATTTCTTGGGAGTTGACGAATTTCTCGGCACTATCAGCATACCTCTATCCAGCTTTGACGTTTACGAAAGACCGAGGAACAGATGGTGCGTGGTTTAATTTTTATTTTCAACGGTATTTAATTAAAATCATATTATTCATGATTTAAAATGATAAAATGATTAAAACAATACTAGAATAAATAAGTTGTATATATTTTTACTAACACTTTCGATTACATTTAGGTATACACTCGGGAGTAAACCAGGCAAAGAAAATACGAAAGAGAGAGGTGAACTCGAAGTAAAAATAGGTTTCATTGTAAAAGCTGGTAGCTTAACGGATTTGAGCCATAAAGAACGTCACAAAAGTTCTCTTGGTCAATTATCCACAGCTGCTCATTCAATAGGTGGAAGTTTACTCAGTATAGGCAGTTTTGAAAAACGTAAAGGTTTAAGAAAATTAGCTAAATCGATTGGAAATCGTGTGAAAGGAAAGAGCAAACATAATTTGGATAAAGGAGATGATTTAGATGAAAAAGAAGAACATAAATTTCGAAGTACGCAGCAAGAACCAGGTGAAGCCGATCCTGGTGTTATTAGCGAAGACGAAGATGAATTTACGGTAAATAAAATTTACTCAATATATTGTAATTTTCGTTTTTTATAATAACGTATATATCAATTGTATATTTTAGTTCGACGATTTATCTCATAAGAGTTCAGCATCATCTCTAAATGCTCCGGTAGTTGGCGGTAACAGTAATAGAGTAGGTTCGGTGACATCAATTACTTCTTCCAATAATAATTTTGAAACACATCAACTTCCATCAGTGACAGCGAATTCGGTACCGAATAAACCTCCACGATTTTCTGTCAGTTCTTCTGCTATCTCCTTATCCAAGGTGGATAATATTAAAGAAGATGAGTGGGGTTTAAAGCTTTATGGTAAACAAGTTAATAATAATGTTAAAAGGTAAAGTATGTTAAAAGATTTAAATATGATATTTCGCTGAATAAGAAAAATAATATTAATATTTTTTTAAAATATTTAGATGGGAAAATAAACCAAGTCCGAAAATTATAATAGATGAGCCAAAGGTTGAATCTTGTGAAACATCATCTATAAATTCGCCTTCTTCAACTTTAAAACGTCAAGATACTTCAGAGACTCCGAATCCTGCACCACGTGAACTTTTACAAACAAAGAACAAGATAGAAGATAAATTAGGATCGAATAAAGAGAAGAATGTAAAAGAAGAAAAATTTAAAGAGAAGAAAGAAGATAAATATGGTTGTTGGAGTCCTAAGGATGAAAAACAATTACGAAAAGATAAGAAAAAGGAAAAAGAAAATAGATTCAAGGAATTTAATGATGATAATAATTTATCTTCGGAAAGAATTATCATTGGAGGAGAAGATGCAATTAAAACTACAACAATGAAAAGCCATTTGCCACATGAAGTTCTGACACAGTTCGAAGGAAAATCAAGAGAAGTAATTATTGCTATATTATATATCAATAATTTGAAGATATTAAAATAATACGTAATTGTATGTAATTAAATTTTTTTCATGTAGGATCTCATCGAGCTAACATTACAATTGCAAGCAGAAGTAACAGAAAAGAAAAAACGTCTAACTGACTTGGAAGATTATATAGATGCATTATTACTGCGAGTAATTGAATGTTCGCCACGTTTATTGCAAAATCCATATCAATCACAAAGACGTTTGTCATCACCTGGTCATCAGTAAAATAATTAAATGCTTTTTTGTCCTGATATTTTTAATATTGATTTTGAGGTTAATTACAACATTCGGAGGAATTAGTGATAATTGCACAGTATAATGTATTCCAATCATTTTATACATGTTTAACTATAACTACTTTGTAGTTGATGCGCTTTAATTTATTTTCAATTAACAGATAGAACTAATTTTTATGTATTTCTAAGTGACATCGCTTTTAAAAGTGTATAAACTCTTGTTGAATTTTTAATGTTTCGTTATTGTTTCAACAAAGAATGCTATTAAGATTAATATTTTAACGGGTAATGAAAAAATGGTGTTTGTGCCAACTATTGTAAAATAAGAAAAAAAAGTTACAAATGTTCCCCTAGTCTTCCCAAATGTAATTGTTTATCCAAAAAATGTTATTTCCGTCCAAAGTATGATCCCAACAAATATAATTACAATATCTGTATTTTTTAATATTTACATGAAAATTTCTTCATACAATATGTATCATATTTTCACAAATATATTTAAAATAAATATTAAACTATTACGTATGATGTTCTTATTCAATATCATCATTATCATTATAAATTATTATAAATCAATCAAAATCTTAAATTTTTCAAAAATACTATTATACTATGTATAGCATAATAATACCATAATAAATGATATAATTGTAACGAAATAAATCTGTACATAATTAATATTTAAATATCTAATAGGATATATAATAATTATTTATAATATATATTTATTTATAATATATATATAAGTACTTACACTTACCTATACAATAAAAAAATAATATTTTCCACTGAGATGTTCGTAAAAATATAACGCAACAATATCATTACAAGAATACTAACATTCAATGCATTTTTATTCCATATCTCGGAAATATTACAGGAACTAAATACATTGTCATACATTTTCAATGTCACGTTAACATATTTGCTTCATATATCAAAATATAATGTTTTATCAGATTGTTATCCTAAAAATACATTATAAAAAGAATAAAAAGAATAAAAAGAATAACATATATATTTACATATTTTTTTACATTAAAGATTAAAATGCGTTATAGTAGTATATATATATGAAAAAGAAATGTTAAAAGTGCATTCAATTGACATACCATGTTTCGTCTATAATCATTTACAAATCAAGAATGGATATAAAAAAAGACAGAAAATAAAGAAAAGATAGAGATAGGATAAGAATTAATTGTAAGCGCCATTTCTTGACTGTCAAAAAGTATATACGAAATACATAGAATATATATACTGTTCTTTCGTGTTATTAATATATTAAGAATTTGAATGTTATAACCAATGACTTTCAATATATATATATTGAACAGGATAACTATTCTTTAACATTATAATGCTTATGAATTTATTTAATATCGTAATAATTAAAAGATTTATAAATATGATATATGTAAATATGATAATATAAGAAAATATTTATAAAAAAATTAAAGAAATTATTTTTAAAATCTGTTGATTTTATCAACTTTCTTCATTGAATTGAACATAATTATATTTATTGCTTTAAATTATAGAGGGGTCTGATTTTTTGCACAGTCGGTATTTCAGAACATAGGACACAAAGGCCTATTAAATGTTAGGTCTATCCTGTACCTCGTCTGTGGTATCGTTCGCTTATGTTTTCATTGCGATCTCTCTAGCAATTTCTTCGTAAAAAAATAACATCTTATTATAGGTTAATAATGACGACTAACATAAGTGACACCAATTTGACGGATTTAAGTAGAATATCTGGTAAGTTTTTATATTTTTGTTAAAATTTTCCTTTTTGACACCCGGCCATGTGAGGTTAAATTTCACAAAGTACATTTTATTGAGCATATATGTATGTAACGGTATCTCAAAATTTTTAAGTAATTTCTTTTAATATTCTTACTTTTCATAGGACTACAAGTTTTATAGATTTATAAATAGTAAAAAATATCTTAACCTTATCTCGTGCTATTCGGAAATTTCTAAACTGAATCTTTTGTAGCTTTATATATATATATAT